TATTTTTTTATAAATAAAAAACATAACAATAAAATAAACGTGCTTAGCACTTTTTCTCCTGGTAGATTCAAGTTTGGTTGTTTTTTTTTTTCCGGTTTAGAAAGACTTGTGCAGCCTTAGCAGCAGGTTAAGGATGTAGTAGCATTATGGGTGTTGCCATCATCTTCTCTAGTCATGTTTGGGTAAATGTCAACTACTGACCTGAAACTAAAAGATTGTCTTTTGTAATGTTTATGTGAAGATCACTGTCACGTCAAATGCTTTGTACACAACTGCTAAACAATCTCTGTGGTTTGAAGCTGGTAGTTTGATTCTTAACTCTGTTTTCTCCTTAATAACTGTACCTTTTGTAGCTTATGTTTATAACCTACATCATACATTCTGTCTTGTGAAGATATTCTCCTGTGTTTTATACTCTATTCCTGACCTTGTGTGAATGCACGTGGTTATTTCCACGTCTTTCTTCACCTCTCTCCCTTCACTGCAAAAATCTTGGGAATGAGAAAGGTTTTATCCATACTCACTCTCTTGAACCACTTAACTTGATGGTGACCTTCATCCTGAAAATATACATATTAGGGACACACACTGACAATATAGGTGTTTACAGATAGAAATCTGAAATGTTTAAGTACTAAACTAGGTATTTTTTTAGAGGAACAGTAATACTTAAAAATGTACTTGAACTCTTGCACACTGAGAGCCAAAAGAAAACCTATTAATGAAAAAGGTAACTTGGAGGATTTTTTTTAGTGCAATTGGACTTCAGGTATAACTTTCTAGAGAGAAACTGGGTGAGCTGGAACAAAATAAAAAGCTTCCTGTGTATCTTGTGTTTTGGAATCCTTCCAAAGGTTGAAGTCCAAAAGATGATTTTTCTTGAAGTCGTTTGATGCTTGATGCTTGCCATCCTGTTGGTGGGAGGGGAGGCCGGTGCATGGTTTGGGGGTGCATTTGGGCTGATTTCTGTGATTCCCTTTGGTGTTCACCAGCTCGTGGCATTCAGCACACTGCAGTGAGACAAGCCCATCGCAAACACGAGCCGAATTTCCACGACAAATATGGGAACCTGGTTCTCCTGGGGGGAGCTGCAGTGTTTACTGCTGTCTGGGGATATGTGAGTTGTCCTCTTATTTTTTTTCACCACTTTGTTGTTACTACAGCTGTAAACTTGCTAGCTGTTGAGTTTCACAAGGACTTGCTTGTTTGAAATCACTTACGTGGTCAGAGTTTAGGAGCTTTCCATGCAAGTGGTGGAGGGGAAAGTTGTGTTAGTTTATATTTTGATTTTGAGTTGTCACACAAATACTGGTGTCAGTCTATTGCTTAGTTTCAAAATGCAGTAGAAACACAAGTGTTCTCTATTTTACTTGGGGTTTCTTACTTGTGCAAGTAAAGCCTTTAGCAGAAAAATTTCTAGATTAAAATAACAGTATGCTGATGGGGGTTTACATTCCAGTGTCTTTGTTCTAAGGCTTCATATTTTGAAATAGAAAACTGAAATATTTAGATATGTTTGAATATAATTATATTCCTCTTGCTTTATTGGAAGCTGAATGACAAGTTGTCTTCTAATACAAGAAATGGAAACTGAAACCAGTAGAAATCTATCAGGTTTCTTTGATTTTAGAGTTAATAATCCTGATTTTTATCCTCCCACAGGTGTTTACACAGCTTGGAATAGAGTGGGGCTTGTCTCCTGTTGGCAGAGTCACTCCCAAAGAATGGAGGGAGTAATGGCCCTTGCCTATCATGGACTGGTCTAAACTTTCACTGAAAAAATGATTGTGTAATGGCATTTCTTCCCTGATTACCACTGACACAGTGGCTTTCTGGTCTAATAAACATACCTAGAAACCTGGCTGGCTCTTCTAGGCTTCCTCGATGCTTCTGGTCTGCTGAAATAAAGGAAATAGTGGAAAAACCTCAAAATAATTCAGTCATATTTTAGGTAATCCTGGTTGTTCCTGGAAAGGTCACTCATGGATAACAGACAAGTCCAGAGCATCACCTGTCTGGCTGGATGTGTGGGCTTGAATGAACCTCCTGGTGTTCCCACTGCAGCATTCACTTCACCTGACTGCTGACACTGCTGCCCTTGTAATGACCAACTTGAGATGCTGGTTTTTTTTTTTCCACAGAAGTATTTTAATGTCTTGAATCACTCTGCAAATAAGCAGCTCCTCTCTGAGGCCTTTGAGAGTTGTGAAGGACTTAAATTAGAATTTGAGTCAGAGATGCCCCGCAGCAGTACACTGCTTCAGGACACGTCTTAGTGCTCATGGGGGTGTTGGGGTGACAGTTGGACTTAATGATCTTATAGGCCTATTCCAACACTAATGATTTTGGGTAGGCATTACCCTACTGCTATTTGCTGATGCCAAGAGAAACGTGACTCTTCTAATGAATTCTTGCAATGGCAGAATTTGTTAAGAAGTGGACTAGGGGTATGTGCAGACTTGGTAAACCCTTGAGTCAGTTTGAAACCCTAAAACCCACAAATATCATTCTTTTCAATGCAGCAGAGGTATATGAAATGGTGGCCTTTTTGCAAAGATTGTAATTATCAGGCTGCTGTGTTTTCAGCTGGACATGTCCCATCACGGTGCCCTCCCAAGCCCAGCAGCGTGGGCAGCAGGGCAGG